GGCCAGGACAGACAAACACACCTGGGAGATGTGGCCAGGACAGACAGACACACCTGGGAGATGTGGCCAGGGGACAGGTGAACACACAGGACAGACAAATGTACCTGGAGCTACGTGCACAGGATGGACAGACACAGAGGACAGACAGACACTCCTGGAGCTATGGGATAGGACAGACAGACACTCCTGGAGCTACATGCCCTGGACAGATGGACACACCTGGAGCCACGTGCCCAGGACAGATGGACACACCTGGAGCCACGTGCCAGGACAGATGGACACACCTGGAGCCACGTGCCCAGGACAGATGGACACACCTGGAGCCACGTGCCCAGGACAGATGGACAGACCCAGGAGCCACGTGCCCAGGACAGATGGACACATGCCTGGGAGCCACATGCCCAAGGGTTTCTGGCACACTCAGGACAGACAGACACCTCGAGCCCGAGGCCAAGACTGACAGACAGACTGACAGGCACAGCCCCTCCCCTACTGGGCGTGCCCTCATTGTTCATTTGCATAATTACCGGCGCTAATTTGCATCTGTCACACCCCCCGACCCTCACACACAGCACGGGGAGTCGTTTGGCTTTAGTAAAAAATGGTTTCTGGGTTCCATAGTTGTACAAAATGGGGCACGCTCAGCCCCCCCCACACCCCAGTGCTTCCTCTACAGGCCATTCCCTATGTTCCTGCATCTATTCCTTAAAAAATTCCATAAATTCCAGCAATCCCGCGGCATTCCCGAGCCCTGGGGCAGGATCCTGACCGGGGGAGCCGCTGGTGCCACATTCCCTCTACGCCGTTTTCTGCTGTCCCTTCTTGCCGATCAGGGACTTGTGGATGTGAGGGATCACACCTGTGGAAAGGAGAGAATTCCTGTCAGGAATTGTTGGAATTCCCAGGGAAACTCCTAGAAATCCTCAGGGGAGTTTGGGGGATTATCCAGAGGGGGTGGAGCTGCCTCAGTGGGGGGTTCAGCACTGCCAAATCCTATTTATTTTCCCTATTTCCCTGGATTTGTTTCTCTCCTTTCCCCTATTTCCCTGCACTTATCCCATAGCCAAATCCTATTTACTTTCCCTATTTCCCTGGATTTTATTTCCCTCCTTTCCCCTATTTCCCTGCACTTATCCCATAGCCAAATCCTATTTACTTTCCCTATTTCCCTGGATTTTATTTCCCTCCTTTCCCCTATTTCCCTGCACTTATCCCACTACCAAATCCTATTTATTTCCCACACTTCCCTGCATTTATCCCTGTCAAATCCTATCTATTTTCCCTCACTCCCCTAGAGTTTCATTGTTTATTTCCCTAGTTCCTCCAGGTTTATTCTCCACTCCCAATCCCTGTTTATTTCCCTGCCTTTATCCCCGGGGACAAATCCCTATTTATCCCCCTACTTCCCCGTGTGTCCATCCCTTCCAAAACCGGTTTATCCTGTTTCCCAGTGTTTCCCACCCCCCTTTCCCTGCGGAATTCCCACCTCCCCCGGCGATGGTGGCCTTGATGAGGGAATCCAGCTCCTCATCCCCACGGATGGCGAGCTGCAGGTGCCGCGGCGTGATGCGCTTCACCTTCAGATCCTTGGAAGCATTCCCGGCCAGCTCCAGCACCTGCGGAGAGTTGGGAATGGGCAGGGAAGGAGGGTCGGGAATGGGCAGGGGGGAAGGGTGGGAATGGGCAGAGGGGGAGGGTCGGGAAGGGGAAGAGGTGGGAATGGGCAGAGGGTCAGGGTCGGGAAGGGGAAGAGGTGGGAATGGGCAGGGAAGGTTGGGAACGGGTAGGGGGAGGGTTGGGAATGGGCAGAGAGGGCTGGGAATGGGAAGGGGAGGGTCGGGAATGGGAAAGGGGAGGGCTGGGAATGGGAAAGGGGAGGGCTGGGAATGGGAAAGGGGAGGGCTGGGAATGGGAAAGGGGAGGGTAGGGAATGGGCAGAGAGGGCTGGAAATGGGCAGGGAAGGTTGGGAATGGGCAGGAGAGGGTCGGGAATGGGAA